CCCTTTCGCCTCCCTGCATTGTGCCTACATATGCAAATTAACCTCCATCTTTGATGTCAGTTAACTGCCATCTGAGTTGGCAGTTAATTTGCATATCCCCCTGATTAGCCAATGAAAAGGGTAGCGTTGTACGCCAATTACCATTTTTCTCTTTTATTAGTGTAGATTTTATTCTGCTTCAGTTAGTCCAAACCTAGAATATTGCTTAAATTCTGGGCGCCACACTTACAAGGATGCCCTTTCATCTTCATCAGTGTCAATAAGTCGCTGGAACTGATGTCTGTGGAAAATGCTTATGGATGCCAACCCCAAACTGACTGTTTGAGCAATAAGTTGGTGACTAGAAAATGACATACAAGAATCTGCAAAGTAATGGAACTCTAGTTGCCCTTTGGATGTGGTACCGCTTACGTCCACCTTCCACATTTGTTCTGTTCAGTTGCCTCTTTGATGTGGTATGTCAAATAAGTTTTAATTACTATAGTTGTGGACATTGAAAATGTGCTAGGACCATAAAAGCAGATGATCATAAATAATGAAATATGCAGCATGTTACTAACAGAAAAAAAGCAATCCATAAAATGGGTGCTTAATAAAGCAAGTCAGCTTTCAGATTTAGGATGTAGACCTAAGGGTCTTATCTTAGTCAGTTCAGGCTGCTATAACAAAACGCTACAGACTGGGTGGCTTTAACAATGGAAATTTATTCTCTCACAATTCTGGAGGCTTGGAAGTCCAGGACGAAGGTGTTGACAGAGTTGGATTCTTCTCTCTTTGGCTTTAAATGGCCATCCTCACGTGGTTGTCTCTGTTTCTTTCTGTGTCCTACTGGCTTCTTCTCATAAGGACATGAATCATATTGGATTCACGGCCCACTCCAGTGACCTCATTTAACCTTACTCACCTCAGTAAAGGCCTTACTTCCAAATGCGGTCACATTCTGAGTTACCAGGGATTACCACTTCAACATACAAATTCCGAGGGCACAGAATTCAGCCCATAACCGTGAGGTGGTTTTAGGCACAGTCCCTGCTGAAGAAGAAGAAAACCACGAATTTGTTCTCAGGTGACTCATCACCAACTCTAGTGCCCAGTCCACCCATGGGACCTAGACTGTGCAACTCTTTATTGAGGCCACCCTGTGCCAGGCACTGTCCAGGACTCCACACATTAGTCAGGGAACAGCCTTCCTTCCTCTTAGGTGTCGCCTCTCTCTGTGTACTTGAGAAGTACACCTTTCAAAGTGAACTTTATAAG